AAGAAAGATCAAACCGAACAAATGTAAAACTGATTCGGTCAATTTGGTCTTGGACCAATGGACTAAAATTTTATCACATTTTTTTAACAAATTATAATATTAAAACTTATAAACTTTGTCCATAATGATAAAATATACAAATTATGTATAAATTAAATATATGTATATATAAAATATATATTACTTTATTATATATATGAAATTAACGATACAACTTATATATTATAATATTTTAATTTTTATATCAAAGTTTGTTTAAATAATAATTAATTATAAATAATATGTTACAAAAATTAAGATGATAACTAATAAAATTATTAAGTGTAATCATATAAATAGAGTCTATTAGAAGTTACAGTAATGTTTATGTATAAATTAAATATATATACATACATAATATATTACTTATGTATATATGAAATTAATGACACAACTTATATGTTATAATGTTTTATATCAAAGTTTGAATAAATAATAACTAGTTATAAACAATATATTATAAAAATTAAGATGATAATTAATAAAGCTATTAAGTGTAATCATATAAATCAAGTTTATTATAAGTTATAGTAATATTTATGTATAAATTAAATATATGTATATATATAATATTTATGCAATTATATATATATATTCATAACATTTTATATTATGAAATATTATTAAAATGTAATAATTATAACAAACTAATAAGTAAGATATTTACTATCAGATATTATAATTTTAATATATAAGTTCTATCATTTAAAATATATAACTTGTAGTTTCATATTAATACAGATTTTTAAATAAATATATATAATTATAATTAAATTATTATGATTATGATTTGTATACGTACATATAATAACTAATATATTTTAAGTATATTATTAATTAAGTTTATTATTAATTCTTCTTAATATATATAAAAAAATTATATACATTAATATATATAAAATATATACATAAAAAATTAGTTTAGTTTTTTGGGTGGAATGATTTAAAATTTTTAAAACCGATAACCAACCGAAAAGTCATTTGAAACAAACATTTTGGATCAATTGATCTAATAGACCAATTAGATTGAACTGTTTTACTCAAATCTTATTTAATTTGAGTAAATAATTGATTTGGTTTGATTTTGCTCACTCTTAATGTCTAAGACAAGCAACGTCAAGTGAAGTTTCAAACTGCAATTACTCAAACCAAGTATACACCAGACTACATTTATTTAAATTTGTGAGATCTATCTTCAATGGCATAAGAAAAAAGATCATTGTACATGCTAACATCACAAATAAATATTACTAATTTTTAAAATAATAATATTTATTTTTAAGAATACTAATTTGTTATATCTATTTATTTTTAAGTCAAAAGATTGGGTGAGATGGAGTTGGAAAGAGCAAAAAATATTTTTATTTTTAAATTTCTTAAAATTTTGAATTTATTTTTTTAATAAGGTGGCATCATCTAATATCTGTATAAAAATAATATGTTATCGAGGAATAAATATAAATCTTAATAACAATCAATTCAATTGACTCGAATATGATTACATTGTCAAACTACATTTGACCACCTTCTAGCCTTTGAGTGCTATCGTTAATCCCTTTTGCATAAAACTCTTTCAATGAAAAGAACTTTGAATCATCAATTAATCCCAGTTGCATCGCTAAATTAGTAGCATTGACGATGACAAATATATATATATATATATATATGTATATGGTTAAACTAATTTTACCTTCATTAATTAATGCACGTTAATTATTTTCCTTCACATGGATCAATTGGTTATTTATAAATATTATAGTTGTTATATTTATAAATATTTACATAAAATTATTTTTATTATTAAAAAAAATTCCAATCTTATTCTTTATATACGATTTATGCACAGTTGTTATATAATTCCAGACTTGTGCGGCTGGTTACCATTTTTTTATCCTTTTTTTTTTTTAACACAGACATGTCACGATATGTACATGGAAATGATAATGCATGATTAACTTCATTCATGTACGCTATTTATTGTGGACGGTGGCGACAACAGGGAGCTGGCAGCGGCCCACCAACAAAACCATTTCTTTTGTTAGGTCGGGCACTTATAAAACTGTTTTTATTTCTTGTTGTTTTCCAAACTTTGTTAAATTTTTTGACATAATATTTAAAAATTTGTAAAACTATTTAAAAAATTTAAATAAATTATTTTTTAATTATATTTAATTAAAATTTTATTTTATATCAAATTATTATTTATAAATAATAATTAATTAATTATTATTAATCAAAATGTCACTATCATATAAATTTTATATTATATAATATTGATGTGATGAATTGACATGCTTAAACTAATTAATTAATCTCATGTAATAAAAAGAAAATCAATATATGTAGAATTAGAGTAACCTCACGAATGTTTGCAAAATCTCTTTTATAATATTGAGATAAAAGCCTTATTGGCTTTTTGCAATTTATAAGTTAATCAAACCTCCCACTTTCAAAATGCAGTAGTTTAGATAATTAAGAAAACAGGTTAAATTGGAATAAATGTTTTGTATATAGGCTTTGCCGGTTTAGTCTATAGTATTATGAATAAGACAATGATCAACAAACTATTTTTCGCACTTATTATTATGTATACACGTACTTCAAATAAGATAAGTAGATTAAATGCAATTTTCTCATCAAA